CGCTTGCGCGCGCGAGTTCGCGAGGGAACTCGTGGCGAAATGCATCGGGCACTTCAACTTCGGCCGGCGTCTGCGCCTCGATGGGCGCGGGGGCCCTCGTCGTGGAGGCGCCATCTCGCTTGGCGCGCCGATCTTCGCGATTCGTCGCGGCTGGCGCATCGGCCCGCCACTTCTACTGGGCACTGGCCCCCGTGGACAGCGACGGGGCCTTCCTGGGAGGGTCGGCCCACGCGGGGCTGCCCAGGGCCACCAGGGGGCACGTGGCGCGCGCTGCTCTGCGACCAGGTCGTGCGCGGGCTCTCCTTGCGCTGCCAGGATTTGCGCGCCGCGACGAAGGTCGCTCAGGAGGGGAAAAAACACACACAGGCACAACTAATCCTCGATTCCCCAGAAAATATGAGAAAATATGGGAAGTGCGGGGGGGGGGGGGGGGGAAGACCGAAACCCAGAAAATATGGGAAAATATGGGGAATATTTCTATGTGTGTGTATTTATGTGTGTGTGTGTGTGCTGGGGCCCCTTCAGCCGCCGCTGTCTCTAGTGCCTCAGAAGCCCGGCGCAGGCGCGAAGGGTGCCCCGCGGGCCCGCGCACCGAAGTTGCGTCGAACGCAGCGGAACGTCGGCCCCCGACCTGCGAGCTCCGACCAGGATCCCGCGAGATCGGGCACGGAATCCTGGCGGCGAAGCACGCGGGCGACATCAACGCGACAGGCGTGGAGAGACACGCGCGCGGTTCTGCGGGGCGAGTTGAGAACGCATTTTGGGGCTGGCAAGTGAAAACAGCAAGCACCCGCGCACGGGGGTCTGCGAGATATTTCACGACCGAGACCAGCGACGCTGCGATGGGCCAGGACGAGCGCATCAAACAGTTGAGGCCCATCATCACCCCGGACCTCACGGCGCAGAGCCAGGGGGCGCATCGTCCAAGGTTGCATCGGATATGTTGCATGGTCCTAAGTACACGAGGTGTTTCGGCCCACGCACTACCCGCTTAAGTCTGCCCCGCGTTGCGCGCTGCATCTCTCCAGAGGGTGCGAGGATCTAGCGGGGTAGGAGGCCCAGCGCTGTCGCAGGGGAGCTCATCAGCGACCTCAAGTAATTAGATTGCCATTGAGCGTCACCGACGGGGAAGTCGACATTCGCTGCGGCTCGAGGCGTCGACAACTCACCGGCGAAGGAGGCGACTAGGGGGCAGGGCGCGGCGCGCGAGGTCCCAGTCTCATCGGGCGAGGGACCTCGCCCGGGCAAGGGGCAGTCGCGCACCGCGCGCCCGCTCGGCGGCCTCTGCGAGTCTCGCGGGTTACAGGCGCGACCGAGTCGCGCGGCAGAAGCACTTGCAGCGGCGCGCAATCTGGGCGAACGCCCCCCGACATTAACCAATCTTCAGGAGCTCGAGGCGTGGCCGTCGACGCCGGGGTCGCTCCGCGACGCGCTCGAAGCGGGGGTCCGCGCCGTCGAAGCGCCCTTGGCCGTCGACGCGGGGTCGGCGTGCAAGTCTTTATCATGCAAGGGCCTTCAAATGCGCGCCGAAGGTGTTCCGCCCAAAAAAAAGAGACGCCGACCCCCAGGGGGGAATTGACAGAGACTGGCTCGGGAGAGGGCAAGAGAGGAGAAGGACGTGGATGGGGGGTGGATGCGAGGAGCAGGAAAGGGCGTCTTCGGACATCTGGAGGGCCTTGTGGCGTTGCTGGGGGCCTCTTGGGTGTCTCTTGAGGGCCTCTGTGAGGGCTCTCGGGGGCCTCTGGTGGCCTCTTTGGGGCGGGCGCCCCGCGGGTTTCGGGGTGGCTCATGGGGCCATCTTGGGGCGTTGGGGCCATCTTCGGGTGTTGGGGCCACCTTCGGGCGAGAGGCTCGAATCTCAGTTCGTGCGCTCAGTTTTGGGCCCCTCTTGGGGTCACTTCGGTGCCTCTCGGGGCTATCAGGGGCGGCTGTTGGGCCGGCTTGGGGCCCACTTGGGTCGTCTTGCGGCTTTCTCTCGGGGGCCTCGCGGGCCGTCTCGGGGCGATCTTGCAAGCCTTGTTGGGCCGTATTGCACGGCGTCAAGACGAGGAAGGCGAGTGGGCCAAACATGTATAACATTCTATAAGATCGACGATTTTTATTATTGGTGCCTTCCACGGCTGCCTTTTTGGGTGAACGCGTGGGCCTTTTTGGAAGCTCCGCGGGCCGTCTCGAGGCCATATTTGACCGTCGTGGGGCTACTTCAGGCCGTCTCGACAATCTTTGGGGCTGCCTTGGCGTTCTGTTTGGGCTCTCTTGGGCCGTCGCATTGTCGGAGGCTCCAGAGGCCCCAGGGGCGCGCTGGCGAGCTCGTCCCCCCCGATGGGGAAAGGAGGGGGGGCGGCCAAATATTTCGCGAGCCTTTTCACCCCCAGCAAGGGGGGTCGGCGGACTTGGCCACGCCACTTGGTCACGTGAAGCGATGGAACTTGGCGTTGTGAGCGGCGCGCGGACATGCACAAGGAAACGATGTTCGAGAGATGCTTCTGGAGATATCGCCCCGCAAACATAAATTTGTAAGCGACGCTGAGACGTCTGCCCCATGCAGCGGAAACTCAATGACGCCAGCGGCTTCGGAAGAGGCCAGCGGAAGTTGTAGCAGAATTGGTGCGTACACGTTGCTTGCTTTGTTGCCAGGATATTGGGGCCCATTTCAGCGCTTTGCTTGCAGTCGGTGCGTTTGCTCTTCTTGCGCGAATGTGGGACCTGGGAGCAGGCCTCATTCTCGACGCGAGGGAGGGCTTCAACCAGTTCGGCATCCGCGCCATTTTTTGTTGGCCGCTTGCCTCTCGCATCCAGCGCCAAAAGCCAGTTCAGTTCGGTCTGAACTTAAAACTGCCTGCGCCTGGCAACTGTCGCCTGCAAAATCATTGTGTTTTCTTTCGCACCTTTGCACTACCAGCTTTGTATCATGTAACGGTCAACGTGATCTCCTTGCCTCCCTTCCCGACCTTCTACGGGAACCCGATTGGGGGTACAAAGAAACATGTCACCGCTGCCGCGCGGGCTCGGGCGCCGAGGGCACGCGCGCCCTATTTGCCGACGCACAAACTGCACGTCTCGTTCGCGAGGCAGGCCAGGCTCCATCCTTTTTCATCGCCATCATCCCTTACGAACATACTACATGGTATCCCAAACGCATGAGTCTTTCGACTCATTTGGGGGATTCCCTCGGGCGCTCTTGGGCAGCTGGGGGGGCCTCCTGGACCGTGAGACACCTTCTTGGACGTCTTGGGGCGCTCGTGGGCCGTGTGGGGCCCTGTTGGGCTCCCTGCAGGCCCCGTGGAGCGTTTCTGCAGCGCTCCCGGCCCACTGCTGCGCGAACGGGGGTTCCAAAAGCCGCTCTCTTGGTCGCCCGGCCGCCCGGAAACTGAGACATGGATTCGAACGCGAGATTTGGAGCATCAGTTGCTTGAGCCACAGATGCGGCTACGGGCGGCAGCCCGGCACGACCGAGCCAGAAACGGGCCGTGGACGGCAAGTCCCCACTAGCCCAAGAGCCTGAGACCCCAAGGAAATTCCAAGACCCCACGAGCCCATAAAAGATTTCCAAGACCCCAATGGCCCATAAACAACTTCAATACACCAAGATCCCACGACCCCATAGAGTATTTCAAGACCTTGAGACCCCAAGACCCCATGGAAGACCCCGAGACCCCGTGATTCCAAGATCCCAAGACGCCCCCATGGAAGACCCCAACACCGCAAGACCCCAAGACTCCAATACCCAAAGCCCCAAGACCCCATGCACCCCAAGACCCCAAGACTCCGAAACTCCATAGAAAAGGGAGGAGGCCTCCTCCTCCTCCTCCTCCTCATCATCCGCCTCCTCTTCCTCCTCGTCGTCCCTCCTCCCGCGCGTATGACCAACATACTGACACTCTGAGCCTTTTACCATTAGATCACGGTTTTGACCCGTTGGGCTGGCAACTTTCTGGCATCGTCACCATTTTGGCCATCACCATCAGCTGCTCCTGGCTCTGGTGCCCCGTGCCGCTGTCCTGCTCGTGATCAGGCCCTTCCCGTTGCCCCCGATGCTGGTGTCATGTTTCATCATCCACGCCAGCGCCACCCAGGTTCCGGTCATGGTCACTGCCCCTGTCCCCTGCTGCTCCTGGCTCTGCTGGTGCTGGGTGCTGGTGCTGGTGCCGCTGCTGCTTGAGCCGTTGCCTCGGGGCAACCTCGTCCGCTGCTCCTCCCGACAGGTCTCCATCCGGTAGAGGGAAACAAGTCGTGGACACTCCCAGAGACTGGTTTTTGAATTCAAGAAGCGTGGGTTTTTACCTCCAAAAATTCGTTTTTGAATTCAAACATCTGTTTTTGGAATCCAAAAGAAACTTGGTTAGTTTTGATTTCGAAAACATTTTTTGAATTCAAGAACATGTTCTTCAATCCGAAACCAGTTTTTCGAATTCCGAGACCAGCTCCGCCAAGCTCAAAGGTGGCACGCGCGGGGAAGATTGCGGACGAAGGTCGGCTCATCCATCCCGCCGCCAACACTGATCCTTGGGGGGGGGAATGGGCAGATCCGCGCGGCACGACTGTTCGCGGATGTCCTCCGACGCCAGTCTCACCCTGCCTGCCGTGCTGAGGTGTTTGGTGCCCCTGGCCGACCCGACCCGCGCGGATTTCTTGGACCCGCGCTCGCCCCCCCCCCCCCCCCCCCCCCCACGGGGCGCCTCCGGCGCCGCCCCTGGCGCTCCGCGCGCCAGGGAGGGGGGTCCAGCGCGGATCCAAGAAGTCCTCGCGGAGCGCCAGAAGTTTACGTTCCGAGGCGGGAATTTATCCATATCCACCGCCTGGAGGGTCAGTCTTCGGAGCCTCGGCGGGCGGTGGATATGGACATATTCGCGCCCCCTGGGGCCGAAATGTATCCATATCCACCGCCCGCTGGGGCACCAGGGCGTGGGCTCCCAGGCGGTGGATGTGGACAAAGCCCTGCCCCGCGCACGCTTCTCTGCCGCGTTTTCCTCTTCTTCAGTCTCGCCCTCCGTGCCGAGGTTCCTGGTGCCCCTGGCCGACCTGACCCTCGGCCCCGAGATCTCCTCGGGCGGCTTCGGCCAGGTCTTCCGCGGCGTGCTCCGGCCGAGCGAGGACCGCGGGAGGCTGCGGAAGGGCCAGCCGCGGCCTCGGCGCGGGCCCCCGCGCGGGTCTGGGCGCTTGGCGGGCTGCCCTCTCTCCCGCCTCGTCCTCGTCTTCCTCCTCCTCCTCCTCCTCCTCCTCCTCCTCCTCCTCCTCCTCCTCCTCCTCCTCCTCCTCCTCCGCTCACGGCGAGGGGGGGCTGTCGCTTGCAGGTCAAGCCTGGCCCAGTCGGAGGATGCGGAGGAGGAGGAGGAGGCGGAAGAGGAGGAGGAGGAGGAGGAGGAGGAGGAAGAGGAGGCCGAGCTAGTCGAGGTGTTGCTCGCCTCCTCGGCGATGCCACCCAGCTTTCTTTGCGGTGCCTGTTTGCAGGGCTAGTCCAGAGCAGAGGGGAGCAGAAGTGTCATCAATGCGTCAGTGGGATTGTCAAGTGGGGCAGGCCGGAGGAGTGTATCGCGCTGCTGCTGCTGTTGCTGCTGCTGCTGATGACGATGATGATGATGATGATGATGATGATGATGGTGATGATGATGATGATGATGATGATGATGATGATGCTGATGATGATGATGATGATGATGATGATGATGATGCGTTCTTCCGTGCGGTCGGCGGCAAGTCAAGTCAAGTGGGAGGAGGAGGAAAAAGAGGAGGAGGAGGAGGAGGAGGAAAAAATGGAGGGGGAGGGGTGGAGCAGCAGCAGAAGGAGCAAGAGAAGAAGGAGGAGGAGGAGGCAACAAACAAATGCAGAGCAAGACATAGAAAGGGAAACGTGTAGAGAAAGTGAAGGAGGAGAAGTTAGAGGCAGATGAGGTGAAGACGGATTAGAAGGAGAGGAGATTCAATGCAGTACCGTCGGCGCGAAAACGTCTGATCCCTGCGCCCATCGAATGGGTCACGGAGGAGAGTTGAGGAGAATGGAATACCAGAGAGGACTGGAAGAGAAGCGCTCCCTTCCTATCTCCAGTTCCAGACCCGGCCTGACTAGCGTTGCTGTCGGGGCGCTCCACGAGCTCCTTTGGCAGCATGCTCCTCGACAACACAGCAAAGCGAGCGGCGGGATTGCCGCTGCGCTGCCACCCAGAGTCCAGACGGCGGAGTGAGGAGGGAGGAGGGAGGGGAGGAGGCGCTGTGCGACGAGATTTTCCTCCTTTCGCCTCTGCCCTCCTGTTGCAGGGGGGTGCTGCGAAATCCGCATTGCGGGACGTCTGGGCTCCAGAGGCTGTGTAGTTGGCTGTTGTGTAGGACTTTTTGAGCGGGCCAAAACCTGCAAGGATCCTTTGGGCCTGAGCCCAGCCCCTTGAGGCAGAGTCCGCCCTCCTACTCCCCCCTGCTCCTCCCGCGCGCGGGGGGGGGGGAGGATGATGATGAGGAGGAGGAGGAGGAGGAGGAGGAGGAGCAGCAGCAGCAGCAGCAGCAGCAGCAGCAGCAGAAGCAGCAGCAGCAACAGCAGCAGTACGTGAAGGGGGAGAAGCAACTCGACCAGGAGGAGGACCCCCTTTGGCAAGGCCGCGTACAGTGGCGGTGAAAGCGATGAAGGGCGACCAGCGCATGCGGTTGAACGAGATTCTCAAGGAGACTCATTCTTGCATCCCGTTCCCCTTCTGGGGGAGGAGGGGGGAGGATGAGGAGGAGGAGGAGGAGGAGGAGGAGGAGGAGGAGGAGGAGGAGAAGGACGAGGAGGAGGAGGAGGAGGAGGAAGAGGAGGAGGAGGAGAGGCAGTGAAAGGATGGTAAGAAGGAGGACATGTTGTAGCAAGTGGAGGAGACGACTCCACAGGTACAATCAAACTATGTTCTGCAAGGCCAGGCCACCATGACAGAGCGATGGCCCATAGGCTTTGCCTCTAACATTCGCCCGCGCAAGGCCCAGCTCATGTTGCTAAGCGGGGCCAGGCCGACGCGTTTGCGCTGCAGTGTTCCGTATGTGTCCTCATCGTTCCTGACATGCCGAGGTTTCCCGTTGGCGGACGCTGAAGAAGGCAACTGAGGGGAATATCAGTAAGACGAGGACGACGAACTTGAGGAGTAGAGGGAGGCGGAGGTGAAACACACTGCTGAGATGAACAGCATGCCCATGCTTGCTCCTGCGCCAGACGGCTTCGGTTCGATTCCGAAAGCGAAACGAATTACGCGAGGCGATTCTGTGGTGGGGACCGCTTCCAGTATGGCAGCCCGTGGCGGGCCCGTGTCGTCAGCAGTGGCGGAACCGGAAACAGCAAGCTGGAATCGTTCCAGAGCCCCAGAAAGCATGATTTTGCAAGGTCCAGCTGGATAATGAAAACGCAGGATGGGGAATGTTTCAACCATCAGTCCTGGCAGTCGCTGCGGGATTGGGGTGACCATCGGATCCAAGATTTCGTTGTCGTTTTTTTGTTGGCGGGCACCGTTCAGCCCTTCAGGGCAGCCCAGCATTGCCCAG